TAATAATTTTTCTGATTTGCTGTTTCACATTTTCCGGCGCATATATTATCATCTCATTTGTTATTTGGTCTGGTCTAGTATCTTTCCTTTTTTTCATCTTTGCTATTTCTGCTTCCATTTCTTTTTCCCCTATTTCTTCATCTTACTTTTCACTACTTTCTTTTGTTTTTCCCCTCTGAAGCTTATCTGTCCGTTTAAACTTTGTATAAAGTAGTTTTTCCCTTCTTCTTCTCCAATGTCGTCCGGTATTCCTTCTTTATTTTTCCTCCCTTTGTTTATAAATTTCCACACTTCATTTTCGTTTTTGATGCTTTGTATTTCTTTTATTTCGTCTTTTTGTAATTCTTCTTTTGTGCGGTTGCATGTACCCTTATATTCTTTCTTTTTTGTTCTGTACTCTTCGCCTGTGACTTTTCCTGTTTTGCAATGCATTAGAGCTTTTTTTGTAATTTGTTTTTGTATGTATATTCTCCCCCTTCGTCTCCTTTCACGTTTCCGTTGAAGATGTACCAACCTTTTTCTTCTACGAAGTTAATCAATTCTTTCCCTTCTTTATTTGTCACGTTATCTTTTGATTTTCTTGTCTTCTTCTTCTTCTTCTTCTTTCTTTCTTCTTCTGCTTCTTCTCTCTTCTTCTTCTCTTCTTCTTCTTCTTTCTTCTTCCGTGCGAAGCGATCCATGACCCTTCCTTGCCTAATCCGCGCGTTTAGATCCTCTCCTTTTATTATAGCATCATCTCCGATTCTTCTATGTTGTTTCAGCTCGTCCACGATCATTTTCATGTTCATGTGATGTATAATATAAACACTCTCCATCGTACATCGTTTTAGTATCATTTCATTCTGTATCCATTTTTCGCCTACACGCCTACAAATTGACGTTAATATCGGCTATTTTTAATTGTAACTCAATGACTTTGTTTCCAAATCAGTGCTTAGTTCACGCTTTCTCCTGAAACATCAATCAATGAGTCATTCACATTCAAGCTGTTTTGGTCAGGTAAAGACATAGATAGCACATATCCACTCGTCAGACTGGCACCTGAATAGAATTTTCAGGTTAATTAACCGGCCCAATGACGCATCTATAACCCATGCCTCTTCAAGTTCATTAAGAATCTTGACTTGAAATAATAATCCCATTGAATAAAGAAACAGACTATCCTTGTACACTCTAATACTTAACAGCCTACTGAGTTACCCTAGCGAAAAATCCAATCTGAAAAGCGTTTAAAAATTCGAAAAAGTAAACCCATTTACAGGGCTCCCGTTCGTCATTGTTTTGTCAGTCATTTGTCACCGCGACACGTTTACCTGTTTGGAACAGATTAGCTTTCACTTACTTTGAAACAGTTCTTATACAAATTACTTGTTTCGTTTATACTTAGATTTGACAGCGTACGGGTGAAATTGATGGCTCTAGTATGCGTTAGGCCAAAATTTTAAATTTGAAAGACGGTTTTATTTAGGTAATAAGTCAATTTAAATAGAAACGATCTCGCGATATCCTTTGGTAATAAAAAAAAACTTCCATCAAAATTGAAATCACCCTATATTGTAGCCAGCTTTCCTTTCTAAATACGCGCATATTTGAATGTAAATGGACAAAAAAAATTATAGTCCAGGAAATAGAGACTGAAAATGGACCATTTCCTGCAAAACGAGAAGTAGTTCCAATTTTTTTTGCATGTCATGAAAGACTATCTGGTGATTAAGAATCCAAGTTTTCGACTCCCCACCCCCTGTGCTTCCCCCGTACCACCCTTAAAACCAAAGAAATTTGGTTGGTTTGTTAGTTTTTCAATCAATCAGTTCATTTTACAAAAAATATTGTTATCAGAAATTGTAGACTATAAAATTCTACATAACTTTGATATACACTACTTTT